ATTAAACATGCATGTCAGGGACCAACAAGGATAGATCTCAAAACAAGGCTGAGTGAAGACAGCAAGTTGCAGAAGGTCAAGCAGAGTTTGATAAGGGTTCTGGAAAATTAGTAACATCAAAATGGCAGTGTGTATCGTTTAAGGAATACGCACATCTACAGCGAACGCATAAACACAAGGGCAGGAAACACGTGAAACGCAGGACAGCGGTGCTGAGCGAGGCTGCGGGGAGGCAGGGGAGGGGTGGAGCCCAGTGCGTGGGGTCTTCACCTGCGAGCCGCACCCAGCTCTGAGGCTGCAGTGGGAACGGAGGTGAAACTCCACAGGGCTCCCCAGTTACACCCCCGGAGATGCCACGTAGGGGTGATGGCAGCTGGTGGGGTCCAGGGACGGGAGGAACCACTGCAGCTGAGGAACAAGGCCTGGGCCCCCAGCCAGGCGGGCCTCTGCGCAGGGCCAGCATCATGCGGCACCCACCCCTTCCTCCTCTTGACCCTGAGTTCCTCTTGGTTGGGTCTCGAGGTTCTCAGATGGCTGGGGGTGGGGTCGGGCTGCCACCCACAGGGTCTCACGACCTGGGCAGCAGGACAGACGTGCACAGTCTCTATACCCTGGCAGCTGGCCAGGGAGGGCCAGAGCTTTCGGGAGATCCTGGTAGAGACAGCCTTTTGTCAAGTGGGCACAGTCAGGAAGGCACTGGACGGTCCCAAGGCCATAGCCCAAGGTAAGCAGGAGACCCCCACAGCCAAAGCACAACATGCTCCAGGTCATCACCCTGGAAGGCCAGTGATGACGCTTGGTGACGTCCCAGATCACAGGACCCAACCTGCACAGACCAGCTGCTCTGCGGGAAGCTCCCTGCAAACCAACCGATTCATGGAGTGAGAATAAGGGCTGACTTCCTAGCTGGCTCCGGAGGTCTCCTCCCTGTCTCTGGGAGAGACGGGCCACATTATAGCCTCTTACAGTACAAAGGCCACAGTGGAACTGTGGGTGCAACTCCAAGTGCCTACGCACCGCACAGGCGCTATCAGTGTGCCCATTTTACAGATGGGGAACCTGAGCTGCAGAAGCCTATGAGATGCAAAGCCAGGATTTGGCCCAGCTGGTCTGGCTGCAAGCCTGGGGCCTCTCTTTTGCTCTGCTGCCACCCCTGGTATGGTCCCAGGTTCCCCAGCCCCGAGGTGGGTCCCGGCCAGCCTGGCCTGCCCTCCTTGTTGCTGGGTTAGCCATAGAACCTCTGTCGCTGTTTGCTGTGGAGGGTGATGGTGTGGCGCTTACAGAGTGGACTCTCATCTCCCACCACTCCACGAGGCAGGAGAAGAAAACAAGGCTGAGCATTCCCAACTTCTCTAGGCGGGAAAGGGGCCAGAGCTAGAATGCAAACTGGGCTGGCCCCAGAGATCGGACGTTCCAATGTCCACCTGACACAACTTCCGAGCAGCAGCCTGGGCTGACCAGTGGAGAGCCACTCCCAGGGAACAACTGGGATCCTGGACAAGGACCAGGCCTGCCTCAGCAGGAGGCCCTGTCACAGGGAGATAACAGGTCCCTGCCCCTGCCGATGACCAGCGGAGGCGGTCACCCACGGCCACCGACCTCTGTGGCCTTCAAGGCTTCGTAAACAATTAACTCCAGAGCTTCAGTCTCTCCAGCTCGTATCTTTCCAGACGATTAGCGGTTTGCTCTGACGGCCCTCCTGTTGGGCCTTTTAACGTTCTCCGTGTAAACAATCCCAGGCAGCTGCACTGGTCACGTGTGGCCTTCAAAGGCAGGCCAGGTGCAGGCCGTCGGGAGCTGCCTCTCACTGAAGCCTTGGCCCCGCGGCCAGTCCCCCCACGGCACGCGGACAGCTGCTGACGGCTCGCTCTCCCGATGAGGAACTGGGCCTGCGCCAGGCTGCGGAATGCCAAAGGGTTATGAGTGGCCATGGCTCCCATAGGACATGGACACAGTCCGGGGCTGAGGGATCATGCGGTCACAGGGGTCACGGTTAATAAATCACTGGTTCCTCTACAGAACCAAATGGCAGGCTGCCACCCCCTTTTAGAGATGGGAAGACTGAGGCTCAGACAGATCTCTACCTGGGCCCATGAGACCCACCGGGTCCAACCACAAGGTAGGAGGGGCTGCCCAGGGCACTCCTCTCTTCCTTGGACTCTCAGCAGAACTTTCCAGAAGAAGCCCACCCAACACACACCCCAGGTCCTGAGCAGACAGCTGAGTCCCTATGGATTCCGTGCCCTCCAACGCAGCCTCAGTGCCTGGTCTGCACAGAGAGGACCCAAGAGCTCCTGAGGTGGCCTTGAGGCAAGGAACGTGGGGCATGTCACTCCCACAGGCACCCTCCCCCAGGAAGCCAGGCCCCAGCCCCAGAGCACACACTGTGTGAGTCAAAGAATCAAGGACCAACAGTGGGGTGGGTGTGAGGCCCCAGAGGTCCTGCGCCCTGGAGGGAGTTCAGGGCAGGGGCACCACGGCAGCAGAAGGCCACAGGCTGGCAGGGACGGGTGCAAATCCTTAGCGCAGCTCCCAGCACCCACAGAGCTGGCTCAGGAGCAGCTGGTGGCGCGGAGGGGGAGAGCTGTCCTGGACGGTTTTCGCTCCATGGTCAAGGAAGACAGCCCCAGCTTCACACCACGGCTGGGGTAGGACGTGTGTGGTCTCTGGTGACTGGACAGCCTCCCTCCACCCATCTGCTGAGCCTAAATGCCCTCTAACAGCCTCTACCCTGGGTTGGGTGGTCTGGGATCTGCTGAACGCTCCTGTGTGGGCATGTACCTGCCATGTTTTTCCAGAACGACAGCCCTTGCAAGCTGGGGACTTGGGACAATGCCCTATCAGGAAAGAGGCACTTTCAGGAAAGGAACAGAGAGATTAGGCCACAAGTCCCACAGTCAGAAAGCAGCCGGCCTGCATGCAGGGGCCTGTCTCCACTCACGCCGTCCCATCTCCACTGCCCCCTCTTGCTGTGACTGGCCGGGTCTCGGATGCTGTGTCTGAAACCCAACTGTGCTTTCCAAGCACCGCTTCCATTCCACACCCCTGCTCATCCTGCAAAACCGTGTGCGTGGGAGGCTGCTCCACCCGCTCAGGGCACTGCAGCCCATGCCTCTCGCTGCCACCAGCTCACTGTCATTTGGGTGGAGCAACCTTATCCCCTAGGTCTAGACCTATTTTTTCAGCATAACATACCCCACCCAAACCCCAGACAGACAGCAAATCTTCATAGAAAGAGCCAACTGAGTCTCTGAAAAGGCAACAGAACAATGGTCTTAAGAGATGAAAACCTTTTTGCAAACAAAATGTCACCTCACCTATAAGTGCTGCCGTGTGGAGTGGGCCTCAAGGACAGGAGAGCAGGTGCCAATGAGTGTCCAGGTGGCTGCAGAGAAGTGCCCGAAAAGCAGCTGGCAGGGGATGGCCCGAGTCTGCCTCCCGCCTGAATCACGCAGCCCTTCCAGTGGGGCACCCCTCTGACGGGGCCCCGCATGCTACCACTCGGTAACTGCTCCTCAAAGCTCAGCTTCTCACGCTCTTCCCGTCTCAAACCCGAAAGACCCACCACACGCTACCACCAAGTGGGGGTTGAGCCCAGTCCTGCTGCCTCCGTGATGCTCGAGGTCTGACCCAGAAACACTCCGCAGTCTTTCATAGGGGAATTCAGCCCCACAAAATGCCACGTGGGATGGTGATGGCACCCAGAGAGGGAAGCTGAGGGGTTGGGGAGATTCCTGGGCTTCCCACCTCCTCACCCTCCAGCACCCACTGGGGCAGAGCAAGGACATAGAAGCAGAGGGATGGCCTAGACCCAACTGCACCCACACACGCTCACAGCACTGCCCCTGCACGGCTGACCCTCCCTGGGCTGGTGGTGGCATCTGGTGGGCAGTCTCTGCTGCCAGGGGGCCGACTCTCAGGCAGCCTCACCAGCACTACCTTTGCAGAGCCCAGAGCCCAGGCACGATGCCCATCCTGCTCTGAGTGAAGGCCGCCAGATGTCTTCCAGTAAACGCAACAACACAGGCCTACATGTGAAACTGCCCGGGTCTGCCCAGGTCTCAGAAGCCCCGGTGTTCTGCATCTGGCTGGCCTGGGCCGGCGGTGATCATTCCCGCCTGCAGACAGCCTTCCACAGGCATGCAGGGGTTGTGGGGAGCAGAGGGCTGGGTGCGGCATACCGCCTTCAGGACAGACAGACAGACAGATGTCCACATGCCAGCTCCTGGCCCTCCAGGCTGAGGGACTGACACGTTCTCCAGCTTCTCTGGGGCCTGACTTCCTCGTGTGGAAAATGGGGCCAATCTTCATATATGTGTCTTGTGGGAGTGCTGGGTCCAAAGATGATCCATTCCAAGTGCCTGTTAAGCACTCACGGGACAAGAGCCACTCTGCCAGCCTCTCTACACGCCCCATGGCTTGTCACGCCTGCCTCAGAGAGGCAGAATTCAGTCCCACAAAATGCCACGTGGGACAGTGATGGGCACCCAGAGAGGGTGCATCCCAGGCCCCTGGGAGCTGCACCCCTCTCTCAGCAGGGGTGAAACTCAGTCACCTGTGAGCAGGTGAGGACACGTGGGTGACTGGGCACGGCTGCTCCCAAGCGCCCTACATAGATGGGCCACCCTGAGGGTGCACTCATGGGGCAAGGCTTTGCAATAAAAGCCAGAAGGTTGGCACTTTTGGGTGATTGAAGAAAATAAATTAAAAAAGAAATTCACAATAGGCCGGTGCGGTGGCTCGCACCTGTCATCCCAGCACTTTCACAGGCGAAGGTGGGCAGATCACCTGAGGTCCCAAGTTCGAGACCAGCCTGGTCAACATGGTGAAATCCCGTCTCTACTAAAAATATAAAAAAATTAGCCAGGTGTGGTGACAGGCACCTGTAATCCCAGCTGCGTGGGAGGCTGAGGCAGGAGAATCGCTTGAAATCGGTAGGTAGAGGTTGCAGTGAGCTGAGATCGTGCCATGGTCCAGACTGCACTGGACAGAGTGGGACTCCGTCTCAAAAAAAAAAAAAAAAAAAAATTCACATGCTATTCAGTACCAATGAGCGTGTCCCTGACGTGGGTGCTCACAGACCACAGGTGGGAGCACACCAGGAGTGGGTGTTCCGAAGAGGAAGGTAACGCTTCCACCGAGAGCAGTAAAACATTCAGACTATTCAACTCAGAAATTCCACTCCCAACAATCACCAAAGGAAACCAGAGCTAAGCGGAATATTCACACACAAGGAGCAGTCCCCACAGAATACAGAATGGGCAACCTGCATGCTCACCCACTGCCAGCCAGCGGTGGCACACCCAGAGCGGAGCAGCTGCAGCCACTCAAATATTAAGTTTTTAATGACAACAGACAACATTTATGGTGTAATTTATACGATGGCTTCGATTACAGTGGAGAAACCATGCATGGGGAATGGATGATTTTCCTTCTCTTCCTCTGCCTCGTACTTTCCTCCCACTCACCTACCAAACAATCATTAGACCCACAACAAAGGGGGCGTGAAAGAAAAAGCCTCCAAGTCCTGACAGGACGACAAAACCAGGCCTTGGAGGACGCCAGACCCGACGTGGCCATTCCCCCCGCATGGCAGCCAGAGCTCCCGCTGAGGGAGAAACCTGGATTCCCTGGCCCTGAGGACCCAGGTGGGCGCTGCACTCTCTGATGCAGAAGCAGGAGTCCCCAGGGCTCCCTGCAGCCCAGGTTTTACGGATGAAGTGCCTAGGACAGGAAGCGCTGGCTTGAAGACCACCACAGCAGCACAGCAGAAATGATCTCCCAAGCCAGAGGACCGTCTAAAATGATCCTGTCACCAAACCATTTGTAAGTTTGCCTTATCATGTGTCTGCTTTTAAAAAAGGACTTTTTTTTAAAAAAAATCTCTTTTTAGTGAAAATCTAGGAGCATCTTAACCACAGATTCCCTTCTCATCGTAACCAAAGGACTCTCTAGGCAATGCAGGTGGCAGTGACACCCCCAGCCCGGTCCCCAGGTCCTGTTCATTGGCCCCAGTCACATGCTCTGGGTAACATCTGTCCCCATCACAGCAGATGAGGGCTTGTCCCTTGATCTCAAAGAAGAAAGGGATTATGCAGGTAGGGTGGGAACTGTCGTGTGCCACAGAAACAAAGGCTCTCATCTAAGCCCACCCCCGCCTGGTCTGCCTCACCAAAGAGCCCCCCAGGTTCTCAGGGAACAGCATGACACTCAAGGCCAACTCTGTGAACTTGAGTCACAGAGAAAGGGCGGGGACAGAGCCCAGATCCTGCAGAGCCCTGGAAGAAAAAACATTCTTACGGTGCCAGCAAGAGGGCAGTGCCTACTCAGCATCAGGCCACAGCAGTGCCAATGCACTGTGCAGGTGCCAGGGCGGCAGATGGGAGAGCAGTTGAGGCGCCTAAGGCAACAGGGGAGTCCAGGAACAGAAAGCCAGGGAAGGCTTCCTGGAGGAAGGGGCATCTGAGCAGAGACTGAAGGGAGGGGAGGAGCAGGCAGAACAGTGGAAGAGGAGAGCAGGCACGCCAGGTGGAGGGCACACAGGCCTAGCACCAGGCGGATTTCCGGAGGCTGAGAAGGCTTCAGGATCACGGAGGGCAGGTCAAAGGCGAGGCTGCAGGCACTGAGAGGGCACATCACGAACCTGCGGGCTCCTGCGCCAACCCTCCTGCAAGGAAGCATTGTCTCTGTAGGCCAATGTCACAGAGGCTTCGAGCCCACTGAGGGCTCCAGAGAGGCTCTGGTGCAGAGAGGATGTGAGCTGGGCCCGGGACCCCGGCCAAGGAGGCCCAGATGCCACACTTGGGCTCCAGATGCCCTCCATGGCTCCAAATGAAGCCTACATGATCTCAGGGACATTTCCAGGGTGGCCCAGGCAAGACCTTAACCACGCCTCCTCCTGTGTTGCCTTCAGGCAGATGGGAAGAGGAAGGGGGGAGGTTCTCGCTCTGGAGCACCGTCCGGACCCTCTGAGCGACAGCAGAGCATGGGGTGCTGAGACATTCTAACCGAGTGGTCCCCGGAATGGCCGGCTATTTGGCTGCTGCCTGGGGATGGCCACAGCTCTTCAAGGCCAGCCAGCAAACGCCCTTCCAGGACAGTCTTATAAGCACCCTGGCTGATGCTGGCGGATGAGGCAGCCGCCACAGTGAATACAGGACCGAAGAGGGACCCGCCAACGCTCTGCTCACACTTGTTTCTCTCTACCAAGGCAGCCAAGCACTAACAGCCACTAGAAGTTCCAAACCATATTCCAGGAAGATGTCAAAATCCTGTTCATCTCCATGTGTCACCTGAGTGTACGCCCAGCTGAGAGCAGCCCAGGCTGATGCTGTGCAATGGGGAGGCTGGCAGCTGGGAAGAGCCCCACCTCTCTTACGTGCACCACAGGCCCACTGAGGCCCTCACAAACCGCGGCACGGGATGGGAGGGGCTTGGTGGAGAGGTTCCAGGAGCCAGCCTTGGGCAGCGAGGTGGGCAGAGACAGGAGGAAAAGAGGGTCTCAGTCCCCAGAGAACACGGAGAGGGCAGTGCAGAGTCAGAGTGAAGACACCGCAGGAGGGCCAGGGTGACACCTGAGTCTCCTGACACCAAGCCCACTTAACACCAGGCACCCCAGCAGGGATGGGCACTGCCCCTGATAGAGAGTAGCTGGGTCCCTGGGCAGATGGGGGAAGCGCATCCCAACCGCCACAGCACAGCGGCTTAGCCCAGCCCCAGCCTGGGCCAGAGGACTCAGGTGGCGGGGTAGCACTCAGCAGGTGGACCTCGGTGCAGCTCGGCCCTGCCAGCACAAAGCCAAGATTACCTTGGCCTCCTGAGGAAGCTCATTAAAAAGGCAATCTACCTAGTGCCTGCAACAGAAATAAAGGGAGTGGAGGCGGAGAAGAGGGACTCGGGGGGCAGGATGCTGTCACCTGCCTGGTAGCACAACCCACTTCCAGAGTGGGCGGCAGAGGGGCATCCTGAAGGCCCTGGAAGCCCCTCCCAACCCCACCGCATGCTGCTGAGCTAGCAGTTTCCAGGCTGGCAGCCCACCTCCGCGAGAGGCATCTGTGTTTTCCGTTCTTGCTCCACACATGCTCCCTGGGCAGGGGGAGCCAGGCCGCCCTGGCGCCCCATCAGCCCCACGTGGTCCTCCCACTCTCATGGACAAACTCCAGAGACAGGAGGCCAAGGCCCTTCACCGTGGGGACCCACAGACATGCGGGGCTGCAGGGAGAGTGTGCTGGTTGCAATCTAGGGCTGAGGTGGCCTCTGCTGAGCAGGCTGGCTTCAAAGGCTCCGGCTTCTTGGCAGCCCGAAGCTTCCACGCACTCCTCTTAGGCTGCCGTTCCAAGTCCCTCTGGCAAAGGGGGTGGCCCCCACCCTCTTACCCGCCACAGGTAGGGAGGCGCCTGTTGGTACTGGTCAGTGACCAATTCTGGAAGCCTACTGCTCTGGCTGGCAGAAAGGCGGTGGGGGCATGGCGGCAGTCCCAGGCACAGCTCAGTCTAGCATAGAGCGTCTGGACCGGGGCTGGGGGGCCCTGTAGCAGGAACGTGCATCTGTGCAAAGCAGACCAAGTGCTGGGCCGGAAGTAATCCTTCATGGGCCCTAGACAGGCAGTTCTGTGACCACCAAGTGTAGACTGTGGCCGTAGGGAGCTCAGAACATCACCTCCCAGGCTGGGAGCTGCTGTGCGTGCGTGCGTGTGTGTGTGTGTGTGTGTGTGTGTGTATACGGTGGGGGGTGGGGGGAGAAAGGAAAGTGGGAAGATGCTCCTCCAACTCTAGGACCCCCATTTCCTGACAGTCTGAGAAAGACCACAGAGCAAGGACTGAGGGCTGTGCAGGGGAGCAGTGACTTGGACTCTGCTCAGCTCCAGGCTGGCCGGACCTTCCAGGCTCCCCGAGCACACCTGAGAGCCTGCAGCCTCTGGACCCAAGAGTGCCAGCCAACAGGCCTACAACCACCCAGCCTCCTATCACCAGCCTGTCTGCAAACTCAACCCGAAGGCAAATTTGGAAGAGAAACAAAAGGCAGACAAGAAGCCCTGCTCCTGGCCCTTCCCAGCCCAGACTTTGGAGAGGAAGGCCCCGAATAACCCAACTTTAACTGCTGGAAATCTAGCAGCACCCCAGGTTCCCCTACAAACGGCTTCCCAGGAGAGCTGCCCCGGCACCCCTCCCATGCCCTGTGTCCTCACGCAGCTCAGCTCTGTGCTCCCCAACTCCCGCAGACATGGGGCTGGGGGACCCCAAGAAAGAGGTGTGGCAGCACAGGTTCCCCGGACCAGCTCAGCTACCCCCATCCTGGCTGGTGGCTTCCTGGGGAAGGTGGTCCCCCATCGGCTGGCTTTTGTTCCTCTCTTCAGGCAAGCTTGTGCCTGGAAGAATTTGGCTGGAAGGCCCCACTGGGAGGACAGGCGGTACTGCCTCCTCCCCGCCCCCAGCCCCAGGTCAACAGGGCCTTTGTTCTACCTGCACACACCGGCAGGCAGGCGGGCAGAGCCAGCCCCCTTCCCTGGCAGCTCCCCCACCCTCTGAAGGCAGGCACTCCAGGCACAGGGGCGGCACCTCACTACTCTCCCTTGCACTTTTGGGACCACAGTACCGAAGCGGCAAGGGGAAGCCAACACTCCAGGTGGGTCACGCACACACCCAGAAGCCCACGTCCCCAAGTCCGGCGGCCCAGACATCGCGGCGCACAGCAGGTAAGGTGGCCCGAGGGCAGCGGGCGGGGACCCTGGAGAAAACCCGGGCGCTGCGCAGCCAAGCCGGCAGTGGGGCAGCACCATGCAAGGAAAAGAGGGTGAGAGCGAGGTCAGAAAGCGCGGGCCAAACCAGAGGAGCTGGGAGCCTCGGGCGCCCGGCAGGTCGGGAGGGGTGGTGGCGAGTGGGGGCCCCCAAGAGGGCAGAAACGGGTGAGGAAGGCAGGGCCGACCCAGTACTGCCCGGCGGGCATACAGCCCGGCCTCGGGGGCGCAGCTGCGCGAGGATCCCGCCGCCCCGGCGCTCACCTGGGCGTGCGCAGCGCGGCGGAGTCGCGGCGGTCCAGCACGCCGGGCACGCAGTTGGTGAGCTCGGTCCAGTCGGCGTGCAGCCCGCAGCTCCAGCCGGTGGAGAAGCGGGAGAAGAGCCAAGTCTCGCGGCGGTTGGGCCGGTAGCAGGTGCACTTCTTCTGGCCGGGCCGGCAGTCGCAGGGCACCTCGAGGCGTACGTTCTGCACGAGGTGGCGGCCGAAGGTGGTGCCGCCCGTCTTCTGGATGTGCAGGAAGACGATCACGTCGTCGCCCTTCATGTCGAAGCGCAGCGAGCGCTCCAGCTCGCGGACCGGGAAGTAGTACTTCTTCTCGTAGTGGGGATCGGGCGTGGGGAACAGGTCCAGGTCGTCGGGCGGCGCGCGGCCGCCGGGCGCGCCCAGGCTCAGTCCCGGGCCCGCGTACTGGTACAAGATGAGCATGAAGCACACCGAGCCCGCCACCACCAGCACGAACTTGCTGGCGCGCTCAACCATGGTCCTGCCGCCGGCGCGCCGCCGCCGCATGTGTCACCATCGCCGGGGCCCGGGCGCGGGGCGCGGGGCCTGGGAGGGCGGGGGGCGCGGGCGCAGCTGCCTCCGCCGCCACCCGCGCTCCGGCCCGGCCCGGCTACTCGGCGCCCAGGCCGCCCGCAGCGGCTCGGGCCCCGACCCTCCACGGCGCCATGGCTGCTCCTCGCCCGGCCCCAGCTCCCCGGGCCCGACGCCCGACTCCGCTCCCGCTCGGCCCAGCTCCCGGCCCCGGCCCGCACGGCGCGCCCCGCGCCCCCCGCACCGGCAAGCTCCGCTTCGCTCCGCGCCGAGAACGCTCTGCGCCGCCCCGCGCGCCGCCGCGTCTCCGCAGTCCGCCGCCGCCCCGCCCCGGCCCGCCCCCGGCCCGCCCCCGTGGCGTCTCTTGACGTCGCCGCCCGCGCCGATCCTCGGCCCCGCCCCCGGAGTGCCGGGGGCCGCCGCGGGTGCTGGGCGCGGGACCCGGGTCTGCGGCGGTGGCAAGGCCGCTCGCGGGCGGGCAGCCGGGGACTGGGAGGTGATTCCGCCCGCTGGGGCGTGGGGGACCAACCGGCCGCGCGGAGCCCAGGCGTGGGAGGCTCTCCTGGCTGGGGCCGCGGCGGGGGGGCGCGGCGGCTGGCGCCTCTGGAGCCTCCGGAGCCTGGGTCCGTACCCCTCCTCCCCACGTCCCGCCGCCCGCGTCCCTGCAGCCCGCGCGGGAGGAAAGGCCTTGACCTTGCGCTCCGGGGCGCTGAAGTGAGACGCCAGCCGACTGGGCTGCGCTTCCAGGGACCAGGGCGGCGGGGTCCGCGCACCGCGGGAGCCGAGAGGGAAAGCCAGGCTTTCCGTTCCTGCCCGACCCCCTCACCCCCGCGGCTGGCTTTGGGACGGTGCCCCGCAGCCCGGCATTGAGAGATGTTGGGCTGTCTGCCGAGGCCTGCGGACCAGCTTTATGGCTCCCTCCTTGTTTGAAAGCAATTTCAGACACGGTGCGTTTCCCCCCCCCTCCAGGTTTATTATACTCCAATGAAAGAGTTATAAAACATTGAGCCAGGTCTTAAGAATCGTGAGTGCCCACCAAAGATTCTGGCTTTCGTGGGTCGGTGGGAGAGTCCAGCGGCCCGGGCCCATCCTGGCCTCGGAGGCCTCGCTCCCCTTTGGCTCACGTGTGGCCCCGGTGGTGCGGGTTCCTCCCTCGCCGCTGCCCAGCCTGGCAAGCACGCGGCCTTCGTGGGGCGGGGGTTCCCGCCAGGTACCCACTCACGCTGCTTGGGCTTTGGCAGTACTCGGAGGCTGCAGCCCGTCGGAAGCGCAGGAGCCGGGCTGGGACCTGCCAGGATCTCACAGCTGCAGGGCCGGCCCCGGTGGGCCCTAGTGTGTTGGTTCAGGCCAGCGCGGCTCTGGGAGCGAGTCCGGCTGCCAGGCTGGGCTCTCAGTGTCCACAGCAAGCCCTGCCGGGGGCGGGGCGGGGGGGGGGGCCCTGCTTTCCGTTCTGTTAGGGGCTGGAAGCGATCATGGGGTGTCACAATGATGCCTCAGTAAAGCTGTTAAACATAGACAACATCACACCAGAAAGCCCTCCCGGAAGCAAACACAGAGAGCTGGAAAAATCAACACCCCAAACCCAGCTGGCGGGCGGCATGCATTTTCCAAAGGGACTGCAGGAATATCCGCTGTGGATGGCGGTGCAGTCCCCATCCCACACAGGTGGGGCCGCCCTGCAGTGTGGTTGGACCTGCCTGCTTCTGCCTGCAGCCCTTTAACACAGCCTGTGGCTGAGCCCTGGGGAGCCTTCCTGTATGGCCTAGGGGACCACAGCTGCCCCGGGTCCACCCCCGAGATGTCCTTACCCAGATAAGAATCCTCTACCAAATGCTACGTCATAATTAAGACTGCTGTTTTGGAGACCTACTGGGTGCCAGGCACTGTAGAGGTGTCATTTCCAATTCCATCAGCAAGTCTGCGAGGGTAGGCTGTGATACCCATTTACAGAAGAGAAAACCGAGGTTCAAAGGGGTTAAGACCCTGGTTCCAGGGTCAACCACTGTCACCCCGTGAGAGTCAGCAGAGCTGGAATCCTGATTCCTGCTGTGAGCCCCAGAACCCTGCCCTTCCCCACCTCTGCACTTGTCCCAGCTCCCCAGGCCAGGAGTGAGGGCAGTGAGAGCGACTACAGGGGCCATTCCTCAGCGCCTGGTGACCGTCACTGCCACCAAGGAGGAATGTGGACCCAGAGTGTTCAAGGGAAAGCTGGAGCAGCTCCGAAGGCCAACGAAGCCATCGGTGCTTGGGCCATGGCCCCACCCTGTGATGATCTCACTGTCCCAAGGGGGAACTGAGGCCCAGGCAGGGAAGAAGTGCCCGTGATAAGGTCCCACCCTTGAATGGGAGCCAGAGCAGCGTGACCCATGGAGCAACATCTCCCGGAAGGAGCTATTTAATCAAACTTCATACTTGCCGCATTGGCTGATGGGGAGCACCCACATTAGCCAGGAAGCCTTTTCTTTCTAGAATTCTCTTAAGAGGAGGGAAATCTGCCTGGCTGGCTACAGTCTGCCACTTTGATTGAAGCTCTGCGCATGCACCTGAGACCCCAAGGCTGTAGGTGAGTTTCTGGGGTCTGAAAGTCAAGTCACATGAGCTACCCATCAGTGGACACTTGAGCCGAGTGGAAGGCAGCTCGAGCGCTCGTTGGCGGAGCAGCTTGCATCACGCTACTCGCCAACACTTCTTGCTACTCCCCGCGATGAGTCCTCAGTGTCATGTCTTGGAAAATGGACAGAAACGCAGAGTCCGGTGCTGGCCTGGGATTCCAGGAGGTCAGCGGACACAGCCAGACCCTCAGGAGGTGCGCTCTGCGCGCTGTTTCCTTTCTTCCCTGGGTGATCTCCTCGTTGGCCGAGGTTTGCCCCAGCCCCGAGAGGGCATATGAACTGTTTGCTAGGGGCAGCTTCTAGCCCTGACTGCTTGTGGAGTCCAGGGAAAAGCACTGGCAGCTCTTCTGCTCAGTGGCTTTGTCCCCTAAAGATCCACTTCACCAATTCTTTAATGTGTTATCTCTGACTTAATGGCAAAGAAAAGTAACAGAACACGGCTAGTGGCAGGCTGTGATGATCCCAGAAAAGGCATTCAGCTTCAGGAGTGAAGCCTCATTCCCGGCCCACCGTGCTGTCTCAGAGTCTGAGAACCACGAGATCAACCGCGGCGCCCCCTCCCGGCGCACAGTCCCGCGGGCGGCCGCGCGGGGGCAGCACGCGGCCCGGCCCCCGAGCGCGCGTGGTTGACTTTGCAAAATTGGGGGATTTTCCACACTTTCTTCCCTAGTGGTTGGTCCGGCGGCCGCCCATTGTTGTTTGCGAACGGGTGGAGGAGGGCAGTTGCGTCTGTCCTCAGAGCCTCCCCTGGGGTCGGCCCTCCTGCCCACGCGGGGCGGGGAGAGGGGTTTTGTTTGGGGACAAACTTTTAGAGGGGACTCCGGCTCGCGCGGACCCGCGGGGCCCGGTTCCGGCCCCGACCCCGACCCCGCGGCGGGCCTGGGGCGCCGGGCTGTGCGCCGTGGACGCCGCTTCCTCCAGGGTCGCCAACCCCCGTCCGCAGCCGCCTCCTCCAGGGAGCCCCGTGGCCCCTTTGCCGCCCGGTGGCCCCCTGCCGGGCTCCTCCTCCAGCACCGGGGGCCGCCTGGGCTCCCACGCAGCCCGCAGACGCGGCGGGTCTTCCCAGGGCCCGAGGGGCGCGCTCCGGCCGCTGCCCGGGGACAGCAGGGTCCTGCGGTTCGGTTCGAGGGCCACACTGGAAGGGTCGCTCCCCTCCACGCCCTCCCAGGGCCTCCCCGTTCCCTGTGCGCTCTCTGCAGGACCTCCAGGCCCGCTTCAGTCCTTAGGGAAAGAGGGTGGGATAAACAGAGGAGGAGAACCTGAGCAATTCGGAGGGGCAGCGTGGTCCTGGGCTTGCCCACACGTCCTGCTGGCCGGGTGACCTCCCCCTGGCTGGCCCCCTGCCCTCGGGTGTGACGTGGGGTTGTTGGCAGATGGGGGGCTTGGCCTGCTGTCTGGCCGGGATTCCGAGTCTGTCCAGTGGAGCCCACCCTCCTCCCCAGGTAGAGGGGCTGTGGGCAGGCCGGGCAGGTTCTGCCAGCTTGGGAGGCAGGACAGGGACCTGGTAATGTTGCCCAAGGGCATCGTCCTG